ATTACAGGCTTGTGCCACCATGCCCGGCCATTTCATCCAGGATTTGCATACAGTGAGGTTAGGGTGGATGGAGGACAGAATGCAAAAGAGAGTATTCAAGTCTTAGAACAGGCCTGTGAAGGAACTAAGTGCCTCTACTGATACATAATCTCTGCAAATCCTCATTTCCTAAATTCCCAGGCTTAGGGGTAGCAAGTGAATTTTCAGTTAGAAGTAGCACTTTCTCCACTCCCATTAAAATTTAGATCCCACAGACTCACAGCCATGAGATTTTGCAGAGACTCTTAGATTTTGACAAGGGCACTTTGGTTTTAGCCATGATCTCTTCATTTCTGTAAGACCTCCTGTTAGAAGCTGAAAACTCTGAATCCTGAACACTCTTAAGCCAGAGGAAAGAACAGATAAATACATTTTGCGCACAACTTCTCTAAACACCGCATTCTCACACACCTCTTTGGTTGTGTCCTCAAAAGCTGGGTCAACAGGGAGGTAGGTGATACCCCTTCTCTTTAAAGTCTGCTCGTCTTTCCTGGCCTTCCGGAGCTCCAGGTTGAGTGCCACCCTCCGCTGTCGCCTCATCTAGTAAGAAAAAAACACTGAGAGCCAGGGAACTGGGGAGCCAAGATGTCACCCCATTTAGCCTTTGGAGCATGTTTCAAAGCATCAGATTCATTTTTACAGATGCGGTCAGCTGGGAGAGTTAAGATCACATAGTAAATTTTCTCATCCCTATTTACCTCTTCTGCTTTCTCTTGCTTTTCTACCTCTAGGAATCAGTCTTCCTCTCACACTTTTTTTTTTTTTTTTAATAGTACTGGGGATCTAACTCAGGACCTTGCACTTGCCAGGCAGACGCTTATGCCACTGAGCTATATCCCCAGCCCCTCAGTCTTCCTCTCAATGTGAAGGATGGCCGAGCACATCCTTGATAGGCCAGGGTTCTCAGCTATAAAGACATCTTAGCAAAGCATCCCACTGCCTTGGTACTGAAAACCCCTTTCTTGATGCTGATTGGTTCCTGAAGAGAGTGTTTGCTTCCTGGATAGGCCAGCCTGGGCCTCCCAATAGTGGCTAGATAGGTGGGACTAGGTCCTGTTAGGGATTACCCATGGATAGGTGTACTGACCACACCATTCCAACCTTTTTTTTTTTTTTGTCTTTTTGAGACAAGGTCTTGATACGCAGCTCAGGCTGGCCTTGAGCTCACTTTGTAGCCCAGGCTGGTCTTGAACTCACAACGATCCTCTTGCCTCAGCCTCCCGAGTGCTGGGATTACAGGCGTGTGCCACTACGCCCAGCTCTAACCTTGATCCAGTCCCAGAGGTTTCACTTGTACAACAGATTGAGGGAGATTAATAGTTTTTAAAAAGCTTTTTCTAATATCAGTCAATAATTCACAGACTTGGTAGTATTGAAAATTCTGGAGAAATTCCCTAAACTTTACAGGTAAATGAGGTTAAGCTGAAGACTTTCAAATAGCAGTTACAATTATGTGTCATTCTTTTGATGAGATACATTGAAAACTGGATATTTAGATGATGTTGTCATTGAGCGAACATCACAGAATGTACTTACACAAACTAAGATAGCTATGATGTCCTTTGGTGATATAATCTTATGGGAATACCATCATATATGTGGCTTGTCACTGATTCAAACTTTGCTAGGCAGTACATTAATATTATTACTCACTTCTGGTTCCTTAAACAAGCTATTTAATTCTTGCTTGAAAACAAGGCCATTGTGGTGTTACAAGGCAAAGCAGAACATCTTCGAGGCCTATTGAACCAGTTATACATAGCAATGAGACCACCCAGGACTTCCTGAGTCCTACTGCTGCAAGGCATGCTTGCTGGCTGTACCTGTGCGCCAAGCCTGGACACACCTCCTGGATCTGAACAGTCACATGCAGCCTCTACAGACCTGGCACTGGGGCCGCTCTGCAGCCTCTCAGAGGTGATAGGAGCCCTGCTTTACAGTTGAAGACACTGCAGCGCTGAAGTGGAACAGTTTCAAGATGACATGGAAATGATTTCATTGCACACTCGGCTCGCTCTTAAGTTAATGCATTTTGACCTCCCTGCTTTCAATATTTCATTATAAAAATTTCAAACACACTAAAACATGGAAAGAATTATTCAGTAATTATCCAGAGACCTAACTAAGTGAACATTTTGCTAGACTTGCCTTATTACCCCTTTACATCTCTTCACATTTCCATATATTTTTTGGGTGGTGGTGGAACTGGAGATCAAGCCCAGGGTCTACCCTCTGAGCTATATTCCCCAGCCTTTTCTGTATTTTTTATTTCAAGACAGGGTTTCACTAAGTCACTAGGTTGCTCAGGCTGGCTTGCACTTGCAGTCCTCCTGCCTCAGATTCACCCTATTTATGATATGTTTTAGCCATGTGCTTTTGTACCACACTGATCACTGATAAAATGAGGCAAATACTCCATACTCACAGATGCATCTTTCCCTCTGTACTTAAATTTTTTCAGCCTCTCTTCTGAGGCGTCCAGGGCCGCCATATTGACTAAAAGAAGAAAATCACCTGCAAGTAGGACAATTACAAAGAGATATTCATACCCAGTGTGTGTTAATGTCATTGGGCTCTAAACCCTTCTAGGGTTTAGAGTGAGAGAGCCTACTGTCCAGTAGGCTCTGGAAGACAGCTCTTATTGCATCACCATGCCAGTTCAGTAGGCCAGGAGCAATGTAGAGGATCTGAGGGAACCTGTTCTGGACTGTAGTAGTTAGGAAAACCTCTAAAAAGCAAGTTAGCTTGAACTGGGTCACTAATGACAAGGATAGGCTGGGCAGAAAGCATAGAAGCCTTTCTTAGGTCAGTGTCCAACTGTATACAGCACACGTGCTAGATGGTCAGCAGCCAACCAGTCCCAGTGGGACATGCCCCTTCCTCCCATACCCAGCCCACCAAGACGTTGGGTCAGAACCAGCTCCAGCATGACCCGCTGCTAAGCCTGTGGTCAGCTTCCTCTACCTGGCTTAGCCCACCTCCCATCTTCCACCCGCACCACCACGGCCACTTTGTCACTGGTCTCCTTGCTTCTGCCACTGCCTTCTCCTGATTTCTTCTCTATACAGAGGCCATGGGTTTTGCTAAAGGAAACACTGTGCTTATGTAACTCCCCTGCTTAACAACACTCTCCTGGCTGTCTGCTGAGCTTAGAAGAAACTCCAAACTATATCCAATGCCCTGCACATGCTGGCCCCAGTCTACCACACCAGCAACTTTTTCTTAATCACTGGACCCTTGTGTTCTGGACCCTTGGTTTTTGTTAGGTATTTCAAGCTTCTCCTCAGTTGGGGGACAAGCTGGTCTTCCCAGGGTCTTTGTAGAATTGGTTCCCTTTCATGCAGTCTTAGCTCTAACATCACCGTGGAAAGCCTTTCCTATCTAAGCGTCCGAGTATCTTCCCAATCAGCCAGTTTTATTTTCTTATCAGTTTTCACCACCTGATTTTTTTTTTTTTTTTGCATGTCTACCTTCTTCCTCCTACTCCCAATGACACTGGCACCATGGATGTCTGAGGTGCTGTATAAGTCCATATTCTGTTGCTACAACAAAATACCTGAGGCTAGCTAAGTACTTTATAAACTAAGGAGGTTTATTTAGCTCAGTTTTAGAGGCAGAAAGTCCAAACAGCACTGCATCCATTCATCTTGAGGATCTCCCAGCTGTACCCCATCTTGGCCCATAGCATTATGGAGGGAGCCTGTGTGGGAAGGGAGAGAACATAGCATCGCAGGGAGCCAGAGTGTGGGAGGGGTCGGGCTCACTTTTTTGTAACAGTTCACACTTTCAAGAAGTTCTTGTGGGACTCAGGGTCGCCAAGAACCACATTAATCCATTTGAAGGATGACACTTGCAATGACTTACCCATCTTCCACTAGGTCCCTACCACTTCTACCACCTCAACATCACCACAATGGGGACTAAGCTCTCAACACATGCACCCCGGAGACACACTCAAACCATATCCAAACCACAGGAGGCATGAACCCTCAGCTTCCTCACAACACTGGGACTCAAACGTTCATTAAAGGAGGGTGGTGAACGGTAAGATGGCAAAGGGAAAGGGCTCTCAACTACAGGAGGTTACACAAATCAGGTAGAGTTTAAGCTTTCTACAAGGCAGCTGGGATTCTTGTAGATGTACAATGAATATTCATCTTTGTCTGAGCACACAATAGGTCTAGACCACCATACAGAAAACAGAAAAGTGGAAGGAGGAGGCCAATAGACTCCCGTCTTGAGTGGGTCATGGCTAGGAATAATTTGGGTCAGAAAGACTAATTGAGGTGTGGCAATGTGTAAGAGATACTGTATCAACAACATGCAGAAATCCACATGTGAGTATTAAGCCCAATGATTTTAGAAGAGAGACAAGCTTTATGTGAGATCAGAACAAGGATTGAGTCTTGAGAATACGTGCATTAGGGCCCAAGAGAATGAAGAGCCAGCAGAGAACCAGGAGAGAGAATGGGATTTGAGATAGAAAGAGAATGACAGGGTCACAGGCACTAGGGGTAACAGTGGCAACCACGCCAGGGACAAGTCCTGACACAGAAGTGCCACCAGCCAGCTACGGTAAGGCAGGACATGCAGCAGAGCATGTCAGCTGGGTCTTGGAACAGAAGTGGCCCAGGAGCCCACGTCATCTCTGGGCTTCATCATGATGACTCTGCCTGCTTTAAACCATTAATCTCTTCAGGAGCTTGGACAAGACCAGCCTAAACTTTATCTGCAAGTCTGAGAATGGGAAATGCAAATTACTGCCCAGAATTGATGAATCTCTCCCCGTCTACCACCTAGAAGTTGGAGAGATGGATAGTGACATATGGTTCATATAAAGCTCTCAATCATTTTGTTAGTCCCGTTGGCCACCTCTCCCCACTGCGTTGCTATGTGCAAAGGAGCCTCAGTGACATCCAGAGGCCAATTCTTCCATTTTTCTTTAATTTCAAATTCCTCCTCATAGGGCCAGGGGTATAGCTCATGTGGCACAAGCACCTGCTTGGCAAGTGCAAGGTCCTGAGTTCGATTCCCGGTACCAAAAAACAAAACAAAAGAAAACAAATTCTTCCTTATAAAGAAAGGTAGCTTTTCACAACAAAAAGCATTTTTATGGACTACGGCCTCCTTTAAAATGCCATCTCCAGAGCTAGTTCTGTAGTGGCTTTAATAACTAGAGTCAAGAGGATCATCAGCTGGAATCAGATTCAGGTTTAAATGAGACTCTATCTCCTAGATCTCAATAATTAAAACATACAATATTTTAGAAATTTGAAGTAAAGTCATGATTCCTATTGTAAGGAGCAATGGCCCAAACATATTTATTCTGTGCCAGGAATGTTGGGTTTAGAATGAAATGAAGCAACTCAGCACTAGGGATGGAGGAGCCACCTCACGTCATCTCCCAAAGTTGCCACAGCCGCTAAGTATCAGAGCCAGGATTTCTGCTGAGATAGGACGTCCATCTTTTGATCACTAAACCTGGCAGCCAATAATCTGTAACAATCTGTAACAAGGTCTGATTAGGAAGACAGGAGGTCGCTACTGTGGGTGGCACTTCACCGGGGGTGGGGGGGAGCTGTTAGAAAATACAGAAAGTAAAAAAAGCAAATGGGGAAAGGGCTTGTTTTAAAGCAATGGGATGAGCCGGGCATGGTGGCGCACACCTGTAATCCCAGCACTTGGGAGGCTGAGGCAGAAGGATCTTTGCAAGTTCTAGACTAGCCTGGGCTACAAAGTGAGCTCAAGGCCAGCCTGAACTGCATAGCCAGACCCTGTCTCAAAAAGACAAAGATAAATAAATAAATACATAAATAAAGCAATGAGAACAATGGAGTCCACTTGTGAAATACCCTGTTATGTGATGCCACCTCACTGGTATGTTTCACCCATTTGGTCAGTTAACAAGAATGCCTGAATGAGCACAAGTAAGAAACTAGTTGAATACAAAGAAAGGCTTCTACCTCTGGGGTGAGACCCACGATAGCACCTAGATCTAGAACTATCGCCTAGCGAGGCACTCATCTCCCTGCCGTTTCCTAGAAAGCTTGGTTGTATGGAACCTTGGCAGTGGACCCAGAGGTTCAGATATTTGCCACCTTCCTCCAAACCAAACTTGTGAGATGAAGCAGAGAAAGCTCAGCTTCAGATCAGAGAGAGTCTCCTCCTTGTAGATGTAGCCAGGTCACTTCCTATAGAGACATTCTGGAAAACCAGCTGCTAAGTCAGTCTTAACCTTCACAAGCGTCTCTAGTCACAGCTCAGAATGCAGTTCCTTTCCCTAGTGTTGCTATTTCTAGCAGCCAGGAGAGCTGGCTGCCCTGCCATTCCTACCAGCATTGAGAGAGAGCTGAGTTAGAGACTTCAAGCTACGCACAAAATAAATCAGCACCTTGCTTCATCAGTTCTCCAACATTTGAGATCCAGAGAAAGCTGCAAAGCTACCTACATAGGGACTTTCTTTATCCCTGCCCCAAACTTTGGGTCAGCTCTGCTGCTGCTCCATACTGGGAAACCTGCGGCAGGAACTTGGCCATACTTGAGGTCACTCTTGTTCCCAAGTGTCTCTTCTTTCATTCCACTGGGAAAAGAGGACACTGGGAACTTCCAAGTTTTTTCATTGCCCCTGAGTTACTTTCACTAGTTTGGGCATTTCAGGCCATTTTTGTTTTCTCTGTACTATTCTAAATCTAACTGAGCTTACTGCAAACATCTTTCATGAACCAAGTACCATTTTAGATTAAAACGTGTGATCATCCAGGAGTTGGCGTCTATCAAACTGTGGTGGGGTGTCTTTTTTGGAGATTTTAAAGATTTTAAAGCATTTTTGAGATTTTTAAATCATTTTATACCAGTTTAATTTTGGACTGTATTTTGTATTTTTGGGTTTTTTTTGTTTTGTTTTGTTTTGTTTTGTTTTTTTGAGACAGGGTCTAGCTATGCAGTTCAGGCAGACCTTGAGCTCACTCTATAGCCCAGGCTGGTCTCGAACTTACAACGATCCTCCTGCCTCAGCCTACCAAGTGCTAGGATTACAGGCAGTTTATAACATGTAAATACAATGCTCCTTGATTTATAATGGGATCATGTCTGAATAAACCCATGAGTTGAAAATATTACAGCTAAAACATATTTAATACACCTATCTTATCAAACATCCGAATTCAGCCTAGCCTACTCTGATGTGCTCTGAATACTTGCATAAGCCTGTAGTTAGGCAAAAACATTGAACATGAAGCTCATTTTATCACGAAATATTGAATATCTCTTGTACTTCTTTTTATAAACTAAAATCATACGTTGGTGATAGCGCATACCTGTAATCCCAGCACTCTGAGTGGCTGAGGCAGGAGGATTGAAAGCTTGAACCCTGCCTGGGCAAACTTAGCAATTTAGTGAAATCCTGTCTCAAAATAAAAAATAAAAAAGGACTGTGGATGTAGCTCAGTGCAAAGGCCCTGGGTTCAACACCTAGTACTGAGACAAAACAAAACAACCCACTGCTAACAAAAAAAAAGCCCTCCACAGGGCTTGGAGCCCCCCACGGGGATTGGAGGAATGAGGCGTATTCCCCAGGAAGAAGAGTTTGTGGGCTCCCAATGCCCAAAAGGTGCCCCAGCCTACAAGTTGGTGCTAGGTGAAGGTGAGGACATGGTGGCGGAGGCTACCCATGGACAGCAGGGTGCAGCCAAGGGGCTCTACCAGCATGGATGAGAAGCTCTCTGCATGCCATACGCCAGGCTCATTGCTGGGAAACACACAGGCAGGGCCTCCTCCGGGGCTCCTCAGAGCGGAAGCAGGTACCACCGAGGAAGGAGGCAAGAAGCCAGACTCTCTCAGTGGGTGAGGAGGCCTCCCAGGCTGTGGGAGTCTCATTGGTGGGGCTTAGTCATGTAGACAGTTCCTACACGTGAGGGTCCCGAAGGATACTTCATCGTGAGGGAACACAAGCTGGTCCCCAAGCTGGGTGTGGGATCTACTGCTTGTTGCATGATAGACTCGCTCCAGGGATCCTAGAAGCCCACAATTGAGTATACAGACACCCAGCAACTGCCACTTTCTGAAAACAAACCAAAGGCTTCTGTGTCTCTAGGGCAAGGCTAATTTAAAAAAGGAGCTGATGCATGCGTGTAATCCCAGCACTCTGGGAGCCTGACGCAGGAGATCTCAAATTTGAGCCCAGCTTGGACAGTTTAGCAAGACTCTGTGTCAAAACAAAAAGTAAAGGGGTCGGGGATATAGTCAGTGGCACAATTACCTGCTTGGCAAGTGCAAGGTTCTGAGTTTGATTCCCGGTAACGCCACCCCCACCAAAAAAAAAGTAAAAGAAAAGGGTTGGAGATGTAGCTCAGTGTGAATGTCCTGAGTTCATTCCTCAGTACCGCAAAACAAAAACAAGCAGCAGCCTAGTTTGGGTCTGGCCCTAAAAGTTGCTTCTATTGTTAAGGATGAGATGATAACAACGCACTCAGAGGCGCCGGACAGCTGCCTGGCTCACTACCCAAACAAAAGCAATATGGCTGCTCAATCAGTATCCAGACAGAGGGCTCAGAGGGACAGTCCAGGAGCCCAAAACACACACACACGCACACACTCAGAGATAAGCTACCACGCACTCATCACTCACCTGGCAGAGAGCCGCGGCCTCCAGCTCCTGGGTTGGCCTTAAATGCGCTCAGCAGACAGCAGGTGTTGCTTGATGCTTGGTGCTTCCCCCAAAACCAGTTTCCATGGAAGTCAGTGGTTCCGGGACCTAGAGGCACATTGGAATCACTTGGGGAGCTTTGAACACCACAGCCACGTGGGCCCAAGGACTAATGAGTTGGCTGGGGTGTGAAGCCCAGGTCCCCAAATGATTCTCATGTCCAACTGAGTACCTTGGAAGCACCTGGGCCTTCAGCCTCTGCAGCTGTACCTTGTGAGGCCCTTAGATAAACTATGAGGGAGGGGGCGTCTCTCCCTAGCAAAGGGTTTGCATCCTAGATGTCTAAGATTCCTCAGGTCTGGTTGGGTTGAGTGGCCTTTGCCCTAAAACTAGGTATCAGCCTTCAAGCTGCCACTGAACAGTTCATAAGCATTGACTCCCAAAACACGCAAGGAGATTGAGCAGCGCGAGAACAGGTTTTCTTCACAGTGAAATGGAAATAGGAACAAAATCGCAGGTGCACAGCCAAGGAATATTTACAGTCCCTTCTGTGTGTCCCACTCTGACGCTGGAACAGCAAATAAATGAGTTGGTCAGTAACAGACAGCAAGGGGCAGGGGAGGCCAGGGAGGGCTTCCTGGGGGAAGTAATACCCAGACCAAGAAAAAGCACAGATTCATAGGTAAAAAAACTCAGATGCTCTGGGCAGAGGGAACCTCCTGGAAAAAGATACTGAGGCAATAAAAAGGGCCATGGCTTCTCTGGGAACCAAGAGGGTGTTCAGTGTTGGTAGAGAGATGATGGGATTGGGCCCAGGGCAAACATGCTGGAATAGCATCAGTAAGAGGGGAGGTTGGATGCATCCACACTGGTCCAGGAAGTAAAGGGTTGCTCCGTCTACAGGATATTCTAAATCAATAATAAAACCAACTGAATTTTGTTTGGGGTTTTGTTTAGTTTTGTGGGCTCCCCCCCACACACCCCGGTACTGGGGACTGAATCCAGGGCTTCACACTGAGCTACATCCCCAGCTCTATTATTTTTTACCTTGAGATAGGGTCTTATTTAGTTGCTCAGGCTGGGCTTCACTTGCCGCAATCCTCCTGCCTCAGCCTATCAGAGTCCTGGGATTACAAGTGTACATTGCCATGTTTTTTATTAACGTTGTAATCCAGGAAATTTGAGCAATATTAGTGGGCTATGTTACAAATCCTCTGAAAGCATTTGCCTTCACCAAGGTCTTACTTCTATTTGTATTGCTTTTTTTTAATCATGGAAGGTTCTAAATCCATAAAAGTAGAGAGACTAGTACAAGTGGATCCTCATATGTCTATCACCCAGTTGATTCAATACTGACCAGCAGAGAGCTGGCCTGATTTCTTCCCTCCTTTCTTCACTTCTGTTTGCCACATAGAAATGTGGCTACTTTTGCGGGGGTGGTACTAGGAATTGAACTCAGAACCTTGCATTTGCCAGGCAGCACTTGTGCCATTGAGCTATATCCCCAGCCCCCTTTATTCACTTTTAAAATTTTGTGTTTATAAATTGTGGAGGGTGGCTGGGTGTAGTGTCGCACACCTGTAATCCCAGCACTTGGGAGGCTGAGGCAGGAAGATCACTGCAAGTTCGAGGCCAGCCTAGGCTACATAGCGAACTCAAGGCCAGCCTGGACAACACAGCGAGACCCTGTCTCAAAAAAAATTGTTGAGGGTATATTTTATAGGGAATAGTCATCCTACCATTTCAGCTATAAATATTTCAGAATGAATCTTTAACAGATAAAGAGGGTTTTTTGTGTGTTTATTTGTTTATTTAAGACAAACACACACTAACAAGGACAGACAGACCGGGAACCAAAACAAAAAAAAAGAAAAGAAAAGGAAATAAAGAAAGAAGGAAGGAAGAGAGAAAAAAAGGAAGAAAAAAAAAAAAACAAACAAATTGTATTATGTCCATGTACACACACACTCCCCGAGATGATTCTAAACTGCATGTACTGCAAACATACTAATAAAAAAGCAAAAGTACAATTATACCTACCAAACTCAGCAGTCCTTCTTTGTACAGACATTTCCTCAGACACAATATTTCAACTCTAAAATAATGCAAAAATGATATGCATTCAGTAAACACTGTACTTTGAATTTTGATCTTGTCCCCAGGGTAACAACATGCCATAGGATCTGTAGCACCGATCAGCCTCTCCGTCACAAGGGGAACACCCAACACCCTACAGATGTGTCGTATTTGCTAAGCTAGGAAGTTTGAAATTAGGTTATATTGCATGTATTTTCGACCTACAGTATTTCCCACTTAGAATGGGTTCACTGGGATGTAACCACACTGCAAGATGAGGTGCATCTACCTATCTGTTTAGAATATCCAGTTTGGAAGTAAAAGGAGTATTTCTGGGCTCTGGCTGGAGCAAGGTCGGTGAGGAGATGGTTAGAACTTCGGGGATGAGAGACGTTGGTAGTCGGTAGTCGTCTGGGCAGTGAGTGACAGGGGAGGGGTCTGACCCTAGGACACGTCGGTGTCAGTGGGAGAGGGGCACGGAAACCTGGACTCCGAGTGATGCGGGTGTTCACGGTCAGGCGCCCCACACCCAGGCATTTGGAGGACACAGAGGTGGGAATTCACCAAAGGCATTCTGTCCACAGCTGGGGAAGGACCTGGTAACCCACCGGAAGTAGTAGGTGACCGTGACAGAGATGCTAAAACTGACTCTGTGGTTTCAGGACGAGGTGGCAGGTGAGTGCCAGAGTCACGAAGAAGGTTTGGGCGGAAGTGACCAAGGCATCTTAGGCACTTTCCATCTCTGGCACAAAATAACCGATACCCGTAACTTAAAGGAGGAGAGATTTATTTTAGCTCACAGTTTTTTGAGGGTTTAGTCCATAGCCAGCTGGCTGCAAGGCAGAACAGGCATGGCGGAAGAGACTGGGAGGAGGACAGCTGCTCAACCCGTGAGATCAGGGAAAAGCAAGAGAAGGGAGGAGCCGGGCACAGGACCTCACCTTTCTAGGACACCACCCCAGTGCCCACCTCCAGCCAGGCCCCACCTCCGAATAGCACATTCAGCTGCAGACTCATCAACAGCTGTATCTTTTTTTCTTTTTTCTTTTTTTTTTTTTTTGGCTTTTTGAGACAGAGTCTCGCTATGCAGTTCAGGCTGGCCTTGAGCTCCCTCTGTAGCCCAGGGTGGTCTCACACTTGCAACGATCCTCCTGCCTCAGCCTCCCGAGTGCTGGGATTACAGGTGTGCACCACCACACCTGGCCTCAACAGCTGAGTCTACTAAGGAGTATGGCACCCCCACCATCCAATCACATTCTACACACATAAGAATTTGGGAGGACATTTGAGAACTAAACCATAACACAAAGCCTGACCCTCACAGGGTTAGCCCTGGAACAGTAGGAAAAGATGGCCCCATTCTGCCCACATCTTCTGACACAATCCCTCTCTTCCCGCCACTGCCAGCAACTTAGGTCCAAGGGCATCTCTCTCCCCTCCTAACAGCCATCCTTGCTGGGCAGATGCCTCTTCAGGCTGTTTCCCACTCCCAGCAGCAGGGATCTTGCAGCCTTTTAAGTCAAATTGTACCCCTTTGCTGCTGCTCAGCCACTCCAGTGCTCCCAATGTCCTGACAACCCCCTACCAGGCTGTTGCTGCTCTATGAACCCTCATCCTGCTCCTTCTGCCCTCATCTCCCACTACACTGTCCCTTAATCCCATTAGCCCCATGCCTGCCTCAGGGCCTTTGCACCTGCTATAGCCTGTGCCTGGCACAGTCTTCTGCCTCCCACTTCCTCCAGGGCTCAGATCAAATTCTGTCTTGTTAGAGACTTTCCTTGCCTCAAACCACACTTCACCCAAACTCTACAACCCCATCTGACTGACTGTGTTTTATTTTTCTCCTTGGCTGCATTTATTATCATTTGAAATACCAAACATTTACTTCCTTATAGGCTTTCCACATCCTGTACTAAAATGTAAGCTCCACAAGGGGAGGGCTGTTGTCTGCTTTGCTGATGCTTTTATTCCTTCTGACAGGAAGTCACTGCTCCTTATATAAGCATGCATGCTGGCCCAATGCCAGGCTCTCCTTCCACCCCAAACAGTGTGACAGTGTCTAAGGACCAGCTGCAGCTCCCTCTGCCATCCACGCTGTACTAGGCTGTATGGGGGGCAGCTCTTCAGATCTCCCCCAAGCCGAGCATTGAGCCTGGGCCCTCTGAACAAATCTGATCAGCCAACCACAACAGTAGCTACTTGAAGGTCTCAGAGAAGCAGGAGGGAAGGAACCTTTACAATCAGAGTAATTAAGTGCAATCCCCTGTATCATCACCTCAGGCCTCCCAGCCTCTGTTCCTGGCTGATGTCTGGCGCCAGCTGCCCACTGGTCTGCAGACACTTTCGCTCCAACAAATTCTTACATTCCGTGCTCCAGAATGAATTACCTGGGTGGGTTTATTTAACCAAAGTTGGCTCATCTGATGCTATAGAAAATCCACTTGACAGAGCAGGAAACCGAGCTGTGGGCATCCGTGTGAGTTGTCCAAGGTCACACAGTGAAGGGAGGTCAGAGCTGTGCGGCCCTTCTTCACTGATGCTTTATGTCTGGGGCTAGGATTGTGCCTAACTGCCCCCTTTGCTAGCCTCCTTTTTTTTTTTTTTTTTTTTGAGACAGGGTCTCACTATGTAGTTCAGGCTGGCCTCAAACTCACTGCAGTCCTCCTGCCTCAGCCTCCCAAGTGCTGGGATCACAGCTGTGTGCCACGCTGCCTGACCCTCCTTCCTTTTATCATAGTAGATACATGTACAATGTATTTTTTTTTTTCTGTTTTTCTTCCGGTGCCAGGAATCGAACTCATGACCTTGCACTTGCCAGGCAGGCACTTTGCTGCTGAGCTAAATCCCCAGCCCCATGTACAATGTATTGTTTACCATTTTCAAGTGCATTAAGCACATTCACACTGTTACACAGCGGTTACCACCATTCATCTCCAGAACTTTTCCATCTTCTCACACTGAAATTCCTTTCTCAGTAACCATCAACTCCCCCATCCCCTCCCTGGCCCCTGATTCCCACCATTTTAATTTCCGTCTCTATGAACTTGATTGCTCTAGGGACCTCATACAAGTGGAATCCTGTGATATTTGTCCTCTGCGTCTGGCTTATTTCACTCATTGTGATGGACTCATCGTTCATCCAGGCTGTCGCCTGTGTTAGAATTTCCTGCCGTTTGATTTCTTCCTTTAAAACGAAAACCATATTTTCCATGTTCCTGTGGAAACATCATTAACGCTGTTATTTAAAGTGGCCTCTCAAATGGGGGTGTAAGCCGGGGGCATCCTCTGAGCGGAGAGGGATATTTATCGTTGACATTGTTCATAAT